TCAATTTTAAATTCAGTGGCTACGAAAACCCTATACATGATATATCACAAGCCTTACCTTGCATGATACTATAATAATAATAATAATAATAATAATAATAATAAAAACTTTATTTAATGAGGCAACGTATTTAGTTTGCAAAAAAACTAATCTTCCATAGGTCCCTCCTAAGCTACAAAGACATATATACATGTAATATCGGGATAAATTTAAAATCATTAGAAATGCAATAGCATTTTAAAGTGGGAAGTTTGATAAGTCACTCCCAAACTTCAAAACATATACATTATACAAGTAGAAAATAGGAAGAACACTATAATTACACACCAAATAAAATAGAATGCAGTTGCAAGTTAAAAATAATAAGTATGTCATCAGTTGAATATTATGGTTCCTTCAGTGTGCAAAATAAATGACTTTTCAGTTTAATCTTAAAATTTTCAACATTTTTACACATCTTTATATCAAAAGGCAGATTGTTCCATAAAAGACATGCAGAATAATGAAAAGTACGTTTCATGGATTCCGTTTTGCAATTTTGAAGAAAAAGAGATTTACTGGTCTGTGAACGGAGCAAGATATCCGTTTTGGAAACAAGAGATTTTTCAATAATATAGAAATTTAGATAAAGTGGAGTATTAAATGTAATAATTTTGAATGCTAAGACAATTTTATTGTAAAGAATCCTCTGTGTAAGGGTAAGCCAACCGAGTTTAGTAAATAAAGAGGTGGACGGAGTTTCAATCGGTGCATCAAGAATAGTTCTTGTTGCCCTCTTTTGTAATTTTAAAAGAATGTCTAATCTACTTTTGGTAGCATTTCCCCAAATAATAGAGCAATAATCAAATATTGGTAGTATGTAACTGTTATAAAACAAAATTCCTGTCTCGTAAGGTAAATGATCTTTTATCTTATTTAGGAGAAATATTTTTGATGCAAGTTTTTTAGACATATCTGCTATCTGTGCTTCCCAATTAAGGTCTTGGTCAATTTGAATTCCAAGTAATTTTGCGGTAGTAACCGTCTCAATTTTCTCACCATGGAGTGATAAAGTTAGGTTTTTCTGATTTCTTTTGTGTTTTGATGAAATCAGCATTGATTTTGTTTTCGAAGGATTGATTACCATCCCATTGTTTTCACACCATTTAGCAACCAAATAGAGATAATTTTGGAGATTATTGGCGATGGATTAAATATCTTTGTGTGAACAATGCAGGGTACTGTCATCAGCAAACAAATCTATCTGACTTGATTCAATATTGAGTGGGAAATCATTTATAAAAATAAGGAATAGGAGAGAACCCACGATCGACCCTTGTGGAACCCCGCATTTGACTGTAGTAATTGAGGAGGTAATTGATCCTAAACATATTTTTTGCTTCCGTGAGTCAAGATATGATTCAATCAAAATTTGTGAATTATTATCAAATCGATAAAGATGTAGTTTTTCAACAATAAGCTTATGATCAATGAGATCAAATGCTTTGCTAAAATCAAGATACACTATACCACTCATCGCACCATTATCGATAGCATCAAGCCAATTATCTGTCATTCGGATCGGTGCAGTAGCACATGAATGATTTGATCTAAATCCAGATTGGTAAGCATAAAGAACATTGAAGGTTTCCAAATAAGTTTGAATTTGAGTGCTCAAGTGCCTTTCGAATATCTTTGAAATTGTGGGGAGAATTGAGATTGGCCTATAATTGTTCGGATCATCTTTAGCTCCCTTGCGGTCATTTTGGACATCGGACAAAACCCCAAGCGAAAATGACGTCACAGAAGTGACATAATCTCAAAATTGTCTTTAGGGACAAATTTTGGCACAGAAACAACCCGTCCCCAAATATAGTTTCGATTGTGACACACTAGCTAAAAGTTCACTAAGTTTGTGCCCTGCCTCGCCGACATTCAACATTTTAAATTTGACAGTCTACTTACGACTTTTGTTGAGTTTGCGGCCACCGCAGCTGTATAGGGAGGACCACTGGGCGTATTTATTTATGCTAATTGAATAACTTAAGAAGACCACACACATAATTTGGCTAAAATTACTCTGAACAGGATTTGGTAGTAAACTTATAAAATAAATCATGAAAACCTGGGAAAATAAAAATGCCAAAAGGTTGCTTTTTCCAGAATAATCTGTTGATTTGGAAAATATATGATTCATTCAACAACAAGTATCATATATCACCAGAAGAAGCATTTTCTTGTGAACATTGTGAGCCACATTCCATATCCATAGGTCGATCTTTTCAGGAGTTATGAAGGTTTCCCCGATGCGCTCAATTTCAATGAAATAACGGCGGCCATCTTTAAAGGTGGCCGCCAAAATGCAATTTAGCAAAGTAACCCGGAAGTCCATCAACCAAATTTCAACACTTCAGCCACCAGGCTAACTGAAAATCATGGTTGAATTTATTCATCAAATTGGTAATGATGTTCCAAAATCCCAGGTCTGTCACATGGACTATAAGGGTTGTATATTTGACAATAATCAGCTTCGCTCTACTCAGGCAATACCTGTTACAAATTCAATTTTGTAAAAAAAAACTTTGTAATTATTTTAAAACGAGAAAAAAAACTTACAGTGAAAATTTTAACTAGCCAGAAAATATATTTGGTCGCCATGGCGAGTGTTTTAGTCGCCATGTAGAGCCTTGCCAGACTCGCCGGGTGAGTCTGCTGATAGAAACTGCTACATCTTTTCCCTTCCAGAATCTGTCTATTGTCTAGCGAATTCTCCCAAGTATGATAGTTTTGTAGCTTTGGGTTTTGGACCTTCAATTATCTAATCGGTCAAATATGTTGTAAATAATCAAAGAGATTGGTCAATTTAGGCTAATAACGTTGAAACCCACCCTTATATGGAAATGGAAATTTACTGGAGAAACTTCCAATGACATATCTGTTATCAACCTAGAATTGAATGTTTACCACATTATAACTCTTTTTTATGTCACCATCTGTCACTCATTCGCTAACTTGATTTAAGTACAAATATGTGAATCTACTAACTTGCCAGAGATATTAATTAATACAATAGAATGCTATCATTAATTAAAAGAGCAAAAATTCTAGCAATATTAATACAAATGTCCGATAAAGGATTAAGGCAGATTAACTAGTTAATCAAGGTAGGGGTATAGGCGGTATAACACGATAAGTAAGTTATTCACTTAATTACCTAATCAATCCATCCTATTATCTACTATAATCGGGTTGAGTGGTAGATATACACTCAGTACACTATATCTATTTTAGAATTTTGAATATTATTCACCATACCTTGATGTCCGATTGGGCATATTCCTGGTCGGACAATTTAGGACGCTTGGAAAATAACATTAGACATGTCCGGAATATACAGGCGAATTCCCATCGCTGGTGAAATTTATTATTAAGATCAACCAGCAGCTGCCAGGCAGGATACGCCCACATTTTGCAAGAGATAGATAGAGAACAAGCTAAAAACAAAAACGATTTTTTGTACAATCAGGGGTAATAATCCAGAAAGTTATGGTCTGAAATGCGCAAATATCAAAAGGGACTGAGATTTTTGGATAAAAATTGTGACCTCTAGAGGGTCCATAACCTTTGTATTACATACTTATACACAATTTGCGTACAAAGAGAGGCCATGTTGTCGGGAAGTTTCATTTCGATTTTCCCGAAATTCCAATTCAACCTTCATTATGGTGAAATGGTGATATATCTAAACAGTTTTAAAATCGGAAAAAAAATTGTGACCTCTAGAGAATACACAAGCTAGTAATGCAATTTTTCGACCAATCAGGGATAATAATCCAGGAAGTTATATTCGGATATGTGTGATTATCAAAAAGAACCAAGATCTTTATGATAAAAACATATATTTAAAGTTTTATTCAAATCAGATAAAAACTGTGGCCTCTAGAGGGTCCACAACCTTGATATACCATATTTTTACACTATTTGCGTAGAAGGGGCGGCCATTATGTCCATCAGTTTTTGTCCGATTTTCATGAAATTCGAAATCAACCATTGTTATTTTATAACTGTGATATATTCACACGTTTTTTAAATTGGATAAAAATTGTGACCTATTTAGGGACCACAAGCTCAAAACGCAATTTTTCGTACAGTAAAGGACCATAATTCAGCAAGTTACGATCCGATATGTGCGAATATCGAAATGCACCAATATCTTTGGGTTATAAACATGCATTTCAAGTTCCAACAAAATCGGATCAAAATTGTGACCTCTACAACCTTGATATACCAGATGTTCAAGAGGCGGCCATTTTGTCAGACAGTTTTGGTCCGATTTTCATGAAATTAGAACTCCAGCATCATTAGGGTGCAACGGTGATATACTAAAATGTTTTTTTAAATCGGATAAAAATTGTTACCTCTAGAGGGACCACAACCTTGATATACCATATTTTACACTTTTGCGTACAAGTGTCGGCCATTTTGGTCCCATTTTCACGAAATTCGAACTCAACCATCATTAGGGTGTAACGGTGATATATACTATTAGACTAAATAGTACTGGACCAGAATTGTGACCTCTAGAGGGACCACAAGCTATAAACACGATTTTACGTACAATCAGGGGCCATAATTCAGGAAGTTACGATTAGATGTGTGCGAATATCGAAAGGAACCAATATCTTTGGGTTATAAACATGTATTTCAAGTTTCATCAAAATCGGATCAAAATTGTGACCTTTAGAGTGTCCACAAGCTAAAAAAGTGATTTTTTGTACATTTAGGGGCCATAATCCATGAAGTTATGGTCCGATACATGCCAATATCGAAAGGAACCAAGATCTTTGGTTGATAGACCTATATTTCAAGTTTCGTCAAAATCAGATAAAAATTGGGACCTGTAGACGGACTGAGAAATAGGGACGGCGACTACATACATCAACATGAAAATGTGGGCGTATAATAAAACCACCTTCATAGAGCATTATTTGATTGTACCACAAGTAATGTAATCTACTCACCGTAAAAGATGGTGAAAGAACCTGCGAGCTAGTCGACTGATAGGATCTCTATATTCAAATATAATAGCTTCTGATATAGGTGGTGTAGGAGTATAGAATGTAGCTAGGGTTGCCTCTAGTTGGGCTGAAAAGGAAAACATTTGAGAAAGATTGATTTTTTGTGTAAACACCCTTATGGAATTACTGAAACATTTACAGTGGACTCTGTCATTTCCGACATCGAATGGGATCGTTACAATATGTCGGATTACGCAGGGAGTCGGAATACTCAGTTTTCTCAAAACCAAAAGTATTATTGTAACTTCGAAAACCGGAAGTATTATTATAATGTAGCTTCGAATCCCCAAAGTTAAAAATGATAAACCTTTCTGTACATTCAAAATTTTATTACATTAATTTTTATTTCATTTAACATGCGTAGGAATTTTGAATAGGTCAAATCTGTTGTTCTATGTCCAGGTCGTCGTCACACAGATCGGATAGGTGCTAGGAATATTTTTACGACTGTGAATAATTCGTGGGAAAATTTGTGGGTATTCTTGAGTATTTGTCACAACTGTCTTACAAGAGATTATAAAATTATCAAAGTAATCAACAAAGACCTACGCGAGCGAGTTTTAATCTCACCGATAATTGATTGGTGATTGCTTGTTAATCTTTTGTGGCTTCACACCCACAGATTGAAGGCCGGATTATACAGTGTTGATTCAATGGAAATCATGTGACGGGACGGCTGATTGATGTCGTAATTCGGAATATTCAGAGTACGGATTACTAAAAGATTTTTTGGCTGACATAATAAGGAAATAAATCGGGACATGAAAATGATGTCGGATTTCACAGAGTGCCGGAGTATTCAGAGGTCAGATGTGACAGAGTCCACTGTATTTTAAGTTTCATCAAAATCAGATAAAAATTCTGAGCGCTAGAGGGTTCACAACCTTGGTATTACATACTTTTACACTATTTGCGTTCAAGGAGAGGCCGTTTGTTGGGCAGTTTCGGTTCAATTTATACAAAATTCAAACTCGATCAACATCAATCAAAATCTGTTAAAGATAGGTTGCCAGGCAATGAAACATATGTCCACAGCAGTTAAGTCGTTCGGGCAGTCAACAGGGGTTGTCACATACTTTTTCTTTTGTCGGTAATGAAAACATTTACCACACACTAAGTAATTATCAGAAATCATTAGAATTTATTTGGCTTCTAGTTTTGCCCCATGCTAACATTTAGTATGCAAAACATGTAATATCAATAGGATTTGTTGTTCTATGACACATCTTGTGACACGGACACGTCTCCATGAACATATCAGCCCTGTTCTTCGAGACCTACATTGGCTTCCCGCTGTACAAAGATGTCGCTTTAAAATTTTATGTTTAACCTTTAAATTAATTTAAGATCCCTCAGCTCCTGTGTATTTAAAAGAACTCATTTGTATCCAAACACAGAAACGTTTAACAAGAACATCAGAAGCTGTCAGACTCAACTTGCCAACTATGAAGTCCAACAAAACATATGGGGATGAGCATTTCTGTACAGTGCACCGAAGGCTTGGAATGAATTACCTGTTACAACAACCCAACAGTGAGGCTGATGTCCCCTGCCGAAATCCCAAAATAGATATTAATTAATCGCACATTTATTTTTTTCAAAAGTATCGCGCAATCAAACTATACACTAAATTTCATCACTCTCTATCAGATAGAATCAAGATTATCTTGTCCAAAGCATCGACCAATGAAACTGATTAGCTCTGCTCAGCTTCAGCTCAAAATGGTAATCATTGAACTTAGTCAAGACATTCACCTAATGAACATCTACATCAAGTTTAAACATTCTACCTCAAGCAGAGTTGTTATGTTCCAAAGTCATGAGCAATCAAATTTCTTATCGCTTCTTAGCCTAAGCAGAAAATTCTCACCATCGAACTTAGTCAAGGTAATGATATAATGAATCTATATTCGGAGTTTCTTCACTCTCATTTCATTATAACCAAAGTTATCGTGCCCCAAAGCATCAACCAATCAGATTGCTTATCTCTGCTTACCTTAAGCAAACAATATTCATCATCGAACTCCATCAAGGCATTCACCTAATGAACATCTACGCCAAGTGTGAACATTCTACCTCAATTACCAAAGTTTCAGCCAATCAAATTGCTTATCGCTCTGCTTACCCTGCGCAGAAAATGCTCATCATCGAATTTAGTCAAGGTATTGATGTAATGAAACTATACACCAAGTTTCATCACTCTCACTTAATAAGAACTAAAGTTATCGTGTCCCAAAGCATCAACCAATCAAATTGCTTATCTCTGCTTACTAGTGCTCTTACGACTAGTCGGATAGCCGTAAACGGTTAGAACTCGACGGTTAAATGGTTCGAATTCAACAGTACGGTTATTCGGAGATGTCCCCCATTACATAGAGTTGCGTCTGATTATATTCCTCTTTATAACAAAACTTGCTCGTCATTTTGTATTTGATGTTTGAAAATCTTAGAATGTAACAGTCGTCCTACGATGTTGACTGCTAAAAAATAATACTATTAATAGCACTCGTCGTAGTCATACGGAAAGTCAACGGACCTTGTTCTGACTTTTGCTACTGTTAATCCAATCTAAATACTTCTCGGCATTTCTAACTATATTCTACCTTGTTTATTATTTACTTCAAAACGTAACCACCATTCAAAATATAATCATAAAGGCTAGAAAATGACATTATACTAGATTCGTTACGACATTCAACAAGTTTCATATCTCGTAATTTCTCGCAAGAATTCTACTTTGGTTTTTAGTTAAATTAACCAATCATTAAAATTCTACTTGCAAGTGAGGAATTATTTCTTTATTGTCCAATCAATAGACGCCTTCCAATTTACTTTATTCTATTCTTAGTAACATTGTGTAATCGTAATATTATCGCCGTCTGTCACGTACGAAGGGAAATAGAGTATTGTTTTGTATATTATCGTTATATTGAATTAAAAAATGTTTCAAATGAACCAAGTTATCCAGGTAAATAAATAACTATGGCCTTAGATAGTTTAAATTTTCATTAGAGAATTGTACATGTCTGAAAAAATTCCTGAAATTTTTGCGCGTGTAATGCCTTTCAGGCGAGTATAGCATGCGCACGAGTAATGACTCGCACCTCCTGACAAGCTCTGTTTTATGTTTAAAATTGATACCATACGGTTAACGGTTACTAACCGGTTAATAGCTACAGCTATTCGAATAACAAAAAGTCCTAACCGTAGGAGCACTACTGCTTACCCTAAGCAGAAAATAGAGAGAGAGAGAAATGGGGTTTAACGTCCACTCGACACAAACTAGGTCATTTTGGGACTAACATATGGTTTGATTTTATTTACATAATTCGCTTGGGCGTAGGGGTCTTTAGCAGTGGGAGGAAACCGGAGGACCCGGAGAAAACCCACGAGGTTAGACAGGCGACCCTACTCCTTGCCACGTACAACCGACTCAATAACCATTCAGCCATCCAACCCCCACCATCAAGGAATTGACCTAATAAACACCTGCACCAAGTTTGAACATTCTAGCTCAATTAAAGAATTATTGTGTCCCAAAAAGTGTGACGGACAGAGGGACGGACGGACAAACAGAGACAGACGAACCAGGGGACAATTAGAAATATTGAAAAATATGAGTCCTGTAACTTATCTCCCCTTGAAGAAATTAAGGATCAAAGTTTTAAAAAAAATCGACAAAATATGAGAGTTGCATTTTCTGAATCCTTGAAGGAATGCCTAAAAACGTTAAGAGCAGAATTTTGATTTAGGTCAACTCACAGTCACCATTTTGAATTGAATATGAAAGACAGGTTGTCAGGCAAAGAAACATACGCCCACAGCAGCTAAATCGTTTGGGCAGTTGACATGAGTTGTCGCATATTTGTGACCCCTCATAGCATACTGCTGAGTCACAATGAGGAAATTTTGAAAATTGAGTTATTGTTATTCTCACATTCTCCAACTCATTACCTTCAATTTGATGTATAGTTTGTTTGAATTGGGCAAAATTGACTGAGCTGTGTCCATTAGAAGCTACCTAACTCACAAAAGTAATTTTTGAGAAAAAGCAAGTCAAAGATTTGGTATGTTCCAAAACAAAATCCCATAGCAACCAGGCCAGTTATTTGCTGTTTTGTCGTTGAATATATCTTTCCATGGGTTCTCAGGGGTGCTGAAGACGAAAATCGTAATAAAAATTTGATCCGACTATTTCCGCAATTTATTTGCTATTTTGTCATTTAATATGTTTTTTATTTAGGATTTCAAGGGTGCTGACGACAAAAATCGTAATAAATGCACTCCTTTCGTAACGAAACATCCACAACACATACGGCATAATATTCACATGATAGTGTTATACTGAAGAACAATCTATATATTAGTAGTCTGTTGTGTATATTGTAACTTCGGTTAGATTAACTCAGTTAATCTCATCAATTAATTAGCACCTTATATAAGTGCCAGCTAGTGGTAAGGAGATTAAGATTGTTGATTGGATAATCATCAAAGAAGCCGCCACTGCTGTACGAGTGTTCATTTAACACGTGAATTAAAATAAGATTTTGTGTGTACGATATAATTATCATTTTCAGGTACCGTGACGTTATCAAAATATGAGTCCCTATAGAAATGTCAATTTCATAGTTAAAAAATGCTTCGTGCATTTTGGCTTTGATGTAAATATCAACATTATTCAGAGGATACTCAATGGCAGACTCGAGAATCGTCGCATTTCCGCCCTTTGGTCGTTCTCATTTTTTCGACCCATGGTGATAAGAGAATTTTAAACAATAATATCCAAGATGCATTAATTACTTTGCATGCCGTATGAAAAAGCGACAGTAAACAGAATTCAGCTATCAATAAAATTCTCTTCGAAAAGAAAATTATTGGCCATTTTGTTTATTTCCATTTAAGGCCTATAGATTATTTTTTTAAAGATGATATGAGATATCAAATAATCACCATTTGGATTAATTATTCAGAGTAAATAATGAATTGGCGATGGCTTTATCATTGACCCGAACAATTGATTAGTAATAGTATTACTCAATGACACACACTCGAATGTCGATTAATTTACATAATCAGCCACATGGTTTCGATTAACACTCAACGGCAATCTATATACAATCAGAATTAATTTTTTTTCTGCCACTCATCAAAGTGAATCGCATGTAGGTACCCAAAAACATTATTGCCAAAAACAAATATTTATCGATAATGCCGTGCACGCGGTGTCTGGGCCAATCAGCAAACGAGTTGTGTAGACAGTATGGCAACAGGCAGAGTCTATTTATATTTTTTAGGGGTTTTAAAAATCAATTCATCGACAATATTTTGATCATATTTGTAAACTAGAGACGCTCCGCTTTACACCAATGCCAATTATTATGCAAGAGGAATGACCGGTTGTCCCGCTGCGAGCGAAGAAAAATAACTAATTTCGCCGAGAATTTTAAGAAATTGGACAGATTTAAGAATACAGTACTCTTACAAAACGTTCAAATACAGGTGTTTTAAAATGTTTTATTGCTATTTTGATCTTTTGTGTCAATAGATAGTATATTTATCGACTCATTTTGGTGAAAATCTCAATTTCCATCAAAATCAATATTTTCACTTATTTTGTCTTTTTCTCATTATTGATTCGTGCGCTTTTCGACTCATTTAGCTGTGGCCGGTCACATTCTTACTTTCGTTGGTAATGAAACATTTATAATACACTAAAATATGATTAAGAGAAACAACTAATTAAGTAATTATCAGAAAATCATTAGAATTTGTTTGGCCCATGCTAACGTTTAGTATATAAAACATCTAATATCATGGATTTAGCTACCAAAATCATTGAAAATCAATATACTTGTTCGTCTCGAGACCTTAAACTCTGTGTGTCAATCTAAAGTCAATCAAAACGATTATATATCGGCGTAAACACAGTGTATAAATATAAAATCAATCAGATGATAACTATGGTCTCTAAAGCATCCACAAAAGTGATCATGGGCCATACCTCTGGCAGTAATTATCCGAAATCATTGAAAATCAATAGGCTTCTTCGTCTCATATAAATTTAAAGTCAATCAGATATTAACTTTAGCCTCTAGAGTGTCCACAAGCAATTGTGGACACCGGCCGGCCTGATGGATGGACAGGGGTGATGACAATATACTACCACATTTCAATGTGGGCGTATAAAAATTGTGAAAAACCTACATTAATGGGCTTGTAAATAAACACAATGTACCGTAGTTTGTTGAATTCGTCTCCTATATCTGCACTAACAGAGAGAGAGAGAGAGATGGGGGTTTAACGTCCACTCGACACAAACTAGGTCATTTCGGGACTAACATATGGGGTCTTTAGCAGTGGGAGGAAACCGGAGGACCCGGAGAAAACCCACGAGTTTGGACAGGTGACCCTACTCCTTGTCACATACAACCGGGGATTTGAAACCACGCCAGCTGACTCAATGACAGGCTTTATGATACAGCGCAAACGTGCTAACCAAGTTCCAAGATATTCCATTCAGAATTGTGACATTCGGACGCTAAAGGCAAAAATTAGGTGTGGCTCTGCCTCTGAGGGTTGGGGCATTCACCAAAATCAATAGTTTATGCCCTTAGGCTATAAGGAATACATATGGCGATTACCTATTTGATCCATTCAGAATTGCAGCCTGTAAACGATAAACACAAAAATTGGGCGTGGCTCTGCAACTGGGGGTCGGGACATGCAGTTGTCGTCCCTAGGCTATAAGGCATACATATCCCAAGTTCAAAGACGATCCATTAAGAATCTTGGCCTGTAAGCAACACACAGAGACACAAAGAACCAGCGGCTGCCAGGCAGGATATGCCCACATTTTCGAGAGATGGATAGAGAACAAGCTAAAAAGAAAGTGATTTTTCCTACAATCAAGGGTCATAATTCAGGAAATTACAATTCGATATGCACAAATATCGAAAGGAACCGAGATCTTTGTGTTATAAAGTTACATTTCAAGTTTCAACAAAATCGGATAAAAATTGTGACCTCTATAGGGTCCACAAACTTGATATACCATATTTTTAGGCTATTTGAGAACGAAGGACGTCCATTTTGTCTGTCAGTTTTGGGCCGATTTTCACAAAATTCGAACTCAACTGTCCTTACGGTGTAACGGTGATATAATAATACAGTTTTTTAAATCGGATAAAAATTATGACCTCAATAGGGTACACAAGCTAAAAACGCGATTTTTCGTACAATCAGGGGCCATAATTCAGGAAGTTACAGTCCTATATGCGCTAATATGGAAAGGAACCGAGATCTTTGGGTTATAAACTTACATTTCAAGTTTCAACAAAATCGGATAAAAATTGTGACCTCTATAGGGTCCACAAGCTAAAAACGTGATTTTTCGTACAAACAGGGGCCATAATTCATGAAGTTTTGATCCGATACATGCCAATTTTGAAAGCAGCCAAGATCTTTTGGAGATAAACCAATATTTCAAGTTTCGTCAAAATCGAATAAGAATTGTGACCTGTAGAGTGTCCACAAACAAATTGTGGACGGACGGACCTCCGGATGGACAGGGACGACGACAATATACGTCCACATGAAAATGTGGGCGTATAAAAACAATAGAGGTCATCCTTAGGGTATAAGGAATCGGCATGCAAAGTTTCAAAAGGATCTGTTAAGAATTGCTGCCTGTAGGCGAAACACACATTCATTGGGCGTGACTCAGTCCCAGGGGGTTGGGCATGCACCAAAAATAATAGAGGTCAGCCTTAGGGTATAAGGAATAAGTATAAAAAAGTTTTCAAGACACACAAAATGGGCGTGGCTCTGCCCCTGGGGGTAGGGCATTCACCACAATAGGGATGTTGCTTCGGATAGAAGGAAGAAGTATGCAAAGTTTCGAGGTGATACGTTAAGAAATGCAGTCTGTAGATGACAAACAAATAAATACAAGAAATGGGCGTGGCTCTACCACTGGGGTCGGGCATGCACCAAAACAATACGGATCATCCTTAGGGAATTTCAAAATTTTTCAAGACAACTGATTAAGAATTGTGGCCTGTTGGCGACACACAGACACACAAAAAGAAAATGGGCGTGGCTCTGCCCTTGAGGGCATGTACCCCAAACGATTGGGATGTTCCTTACGGTACAAAGAATAGGTGTGCAAAGTTTCAAGATGATAAGTTAAGAAATGCGACCTGTAGATGACAAACAAACAAATACAAGAAATGGGCGTGGCTCTGCCTCTGGGGGTCGGGCATGCACGAAAAACAATAGGGATCATCCTTAGGGTATAAGGAATAAGTATGTAAAATGATCACTTAAGAATTATGGCCTGTAGGCAACACACAAACACACAGGCAGGGGCAACGAATTTGGACGTATAAAAATATTCGACAAAAAGTAGGTCAGATTGCCTTCAAATTTTGTTTTTGTACTAGATAAGAAATTACTGATGCGTACACACAATATGGAGTTTGTCGATCGAACCGGAAGTGCCACCATTTTGAAATGTTAAAAATACCTAAGGTTTTTGCGATATTTTACTTACATACATACATGGGAGTTACATTTACCGAATCCTTGAAGGAATGCCTAAAAAACATTCAGAGAAGAATTTTGATTTCGCCATCATTTTGAATTGAATATGAAAAAAAGTGAAAAATCAACGCTAACGGGCGTGAAAATGAACACAATAGGCCGTAGTTTGGAGAATTTGTCTCCTATTTCCAAAATCAATACAGTATTACATTTCTGTATAGTCGGGATCTGGGTCAAATTTTTAGTTGTTTACAGGACATTTTATTTCCTTAATTTTTTAAAATTTACAAATTTGACCTAAATATTCGAACAGCTGAAGTCAATCTGCTTTTAAGAGTCTTGATATAACCCATGACACATGACGATGAATAGGAGAGCGTTCATATCTGCCTGGAACAGGTGCAGATCTAGGTATTATTATTGAACAATATGAATAAATATAAAGTCAATCAGATGATAATGTTTTAATTACTTAAGCCTCCAGAGCATCCACAAGCAATTGTGGACGCCAGATGGACAGGGTGACAACAATATACCACCATATTTCTATGTGGTTAAAACCAAATCGTGGTTTTGTGATACCCATGACTTTGTTTTGAACCACTCCTACTGGTGTCACCATATCATGTTTATTATGACTTGGATCCCATCAAAGTTTATGTTATTCAAATGGTTTTAAGATTCCTCTTTCTTTATTTTTATTTGGATTCACATTTAAAGATACATTCCCGCGTACTTGCCATATATACCAAAATTGACATACTTTTATTGGAAATAACCACCCGGTTTCTGGGAACCTATCTTTAAATGTGGGTATATAAATACTGAAGCCTCTAACGCATTAACAAGCCAATAATTGATGGAATGGTGTATGCGCACATTGCTATGTGGACATATCAAAATTAATTTAAACATTAGTAAATTAGACAGAAATAATATTTAATCAGTCATTTACTAAACAATTATTCCATTAATCAAATGGGTATACCTTCTCTCTCAGCATTCAGTGGCAGACGTAAGAGATGATTGGCTATAGTTGATAAACAATAATAACATGTTGGACCATCTGAATCCCAGTTTAAACACGATAATAGACTAACAGCCTGAAAATATAATAACAGTTTTACAGAAGGGCTTCACTATAACACTGTTGAAACCTGGGAACCATGTCAACCCCTGACTTGTGCTGATCCACACTACAGTTAGTTCCCAGGGTAACTTCAATATCAAAAATAATACCTACCTCATCTAACTGCTTAAACTTAATATATTCTTTAACTAATTCTGATGAAGAAAACCGTTCTCGACTCACAACACCCAAATGAAACTGTAACAGAAGTGGAGGCCCCCTAAAGAAATAAAATAAATGATTAAGTAATGTAAACTGACCATACTACATTACCACATGGTCTGAAATATCATAAGAGACAGAGATTTTTGGAATGTAAAGATATGTTTTAAGTTTCATCAAAATCGCATAAAAATTGTGACCTCTAGAGGGTCCATAACCTTTGTATTACATACTTATACACAATTTGCGTACAAAGAGCGGCCATTTTGTCGGGCAGTTTCATTTCGATTTTTTCGAAATTCAAATTCAACCTTCATGATGGTGGAATGGTGATATATCTAAACGGTTTTTAAAATTGGAAAAAAAAATGTGACCTCTAGAGAATCCACAAGCTAAAAATGTGATTTTTCGACCAATCAGGGGCCATAATCCAGGAAGTTACATTCGGATATGTGTGATTATCAAAAGGAACCAAGATCTTTATGATAAAAACATGTATTTACAGTTTCATCCAAATCGGATAAAAACTGTGGCCTCTAGAGAGTCAACAACCTTGATATACCATATCTTTACACTATTTGCGTACAAGGGACGGTTATTATGTCCGTCAGTTTTAGTCCGATTTTCACGAAATTTGAACCCAAACATCATTGGTGTATAACTGTGATATATATCGAAAGGAACCAAGATCTTTGGGTTATATAAACATGCATTTCAAGTTTCATCATAATCGGATCAAAATTGTGATCTCTAGGAGGTCCACAACCTTGATATACAAGATGTTTACACTATTCGCGTACAAGGGGTGACCATTTTGTCCGACAATTTTGGTCCGATTTTCACAAAATTCAAACTTAACCATCATTAGGGTGTAAAAGTGATCTACTAAAAGTTTTTTTTTAAATCAAATAAAAATTGTGACCTCTAGAGGGGCCATAATTCAGGAAGGTACAACCCGATATGCACGAATATCATAAGGAACCAAAATCTTTGGGACATAATCATGCATTCCAAGTTTCATCAAAATTGGATGAAAATCGTGACCTCTAGAGGGTCCACAACCTTGATATATCATATTTTTACACTATTTGTGTACAAGGGGTGGCCATTTTGTCCGACAGTTTTGGTCCGATTTTCACGAAAATCGAACTTAACCATCAAAAGGGTTTAACGGTGATATACTAAAATGTTTTTTTTTTAAATTGGATAAAAATTGTGACCTCTAGAGGGGCCACAAGCTTAAAATGCAATTTTTCATACGATCAAGGGCCATAAATCAGGACGTTACGATCCGATATGCGTGAATATAGAAAGGAACCAAGACCTTTGTGATATAAGCATAAATTTAAGGTTGCATCAAAATCAGAAAAAAATTGTGGCCTCTAGAGGGTCTACAACCTTGATATACCACATATTTACACCATTTGCGTTATACGAGGGGCGGCCATTTTGTCTGTCGGTTTTGGTCCGATTTTCACATAATTAGAACTCAACCATCATTACGGTGTAACGGTGATATATTCACACGTTTTTTTAAATCGGATAATAATTGTGATCTCTAGAGGGACCACAAGCTAAAAATGTGATTTTTCGTACAGTCAAGGGCCATAATTCAGGAAGTTACAATTCGATATGCGGAAATATCAAAAGGAACCAAGATCTTTGGGTTATAAACATGTATTTCAAGTTTCATCAAAATCAGATCAAAATTCTGAGCTATAGAGGATCCACAATCTTGATATACCATATTTTTACATTGCATTCGAGGGGCGGCCATTTTGTCCTGCAGTTTTGGTTCGATTTTCACGAAATTCAAACTCAACCGTCATTAAGGTGTAACGGTGATATGTTCAAACGTTTTTTTAAATAGGAATAAAATTGTGACTTCAATAGGGTCCACAAGCTAAAAAACGTGATTTTTCGTACAATCAGGGGCCATAATTCAGGAAGTTATGGTCCGATATGCGCAAATATTAAAAGGAACCAAGATCTTTGGGTTATAAACTTACATTTCAAATTTCAACAAAATAAGATAACCAGCGGCTGCCAGGCAGGATACGCCAACATTTTCGAGAGATGGATAGAGAACAAGCTAACAAAAAAGTGATTTTTCCTACAGTCAGGGGCTATAATTCAGGAAGTTATGGTCCGATATGTGCGAATATCAAAAGGAACCGAGATCTTTGGGTTATAAACTTACATTTCAAGTTTCAACAAAATCGGATAAAAATTGTGACCTCTATAGGGTCCACAAGCTAAAAACGTGATTTTTCGTACAAACAGGGGCCATAATCCATGAAGTTTCGATCCGATACATGCCAATATCGAAAGCAGCCGTGATCTTTTGGAGATAAACCTATATTTCAAGTTTCGTCAAAATTGGATGAGAATTGTGACCTGTAGAGTGTCCACAAACAATTGTGGATGGACGGACAGGGGCGACGACAATATACGTCCACATGAAAATGTGGGCGTGTAAAAATTGCGACCTCTATAGGGTCCACAAGCTAAAAATGCGATAATCCATGAAGTTACGGTCCAATTCATGCCAATATCGACAGGAACCGAGATCTCAGGGAGATAAACCTATATGTGACCTGTAGAGTGTCCACAAACAATTGTGGACGGACAGATGTCCGGACGGACAGGGGCGACGACAATATACATCCACATGAAAATGTGGGCGTATAAAAACCTTATTGGACAATGGTCTGAACAGTATGTAAAATGTGATTACTTACTTATCAAAAACAAAATAGAGAGAATCCACATAATCAGTTGTACTATCAACAGACTGGGGATCAAAGGGACACCACTCCATTTTATTAAGAACAGGCGGAAATCTGTAAAAGATAAATCAGTCTAAAACATTTTAAATCAATTGACAGAATAATAAATGATTGACTCATAGTTGCGATAACAGATTTAGGTGGGGGAAAAAAGAGGCTTAATCAACCACATAAAATATGTTTCATCTTTGTTGATTTCAGATCATAATAGCCATGGTTTATTGTTTTTCACCCACTAATCCCATCCACAGATAATTAGGCTTTCAGACTTTCGTCTGAAAGACTATTGTTTTTTACTAAAATTATTATTATTATTTGCCACAGGAGCTTATTTCTGCATGATGGAAAACTGATATTGATCAGGGACCAAATTTTCTATTTAGAAATCATGTGGTGGTGACTTTTAAACTATTTTTGACACTTAAGCGCATACCAGAAGTGGCCGAAATTTGTACGTTGTCCTGAAATTGAAAATCGGCCATAGTTTCGTCAATTCTTTACCTATTTTCAAATATATGACATTTTCGTAAACCCTGAATCCTTTCGGAGACAATGACTATCTCACATTTTTCAATTTTGAATATTCGTCTATGACTTCCATCGTTCGAAAATTGGAAACACATTGTTTTTGAGACGATTTTTGTTATTTTTCAAACTTTGTAAATTTGACCTACATTTTTTGATACCTGTAATTTAAGTTTCGAATTTTCGGCTCATTTTCTAACCCTTATAATTTTTTTATAAGGATTAATCAATGATTATGAAACTCCTGGACCATAATAAAGCCATATGGTCGAACTTTTTGGTAAAGCAATTCCAACAACAATTCGTAAACCGGAAGCAGGCGAAATAATGTTCAATATTCTGAAAAAATGCAAATAATGGATACTTTTGGGAAAAAAAGCGTGATTTCTCCGTCCGCTATCAACAGATTAAACGAATTAAGGTATCATTGAGTGGCCCGATGCATGGACTATCATATGATACCCAATTCATACAGATACCATGATCAGAAAGCAAAATATGGCACACCGAAAATCAAGTATTTTCCGATTTGGGGTCTTTTTGGACGCCTGTATCTCGATAGCTGCTCCAGCGATATTTCTTAAACTTTCTCAATCGAGAGTCCCTTCGGAAGTGTTGTGAACGAATACATTCAATACGACTTTGAAATAACTGTAATAGGAAAAATAAGGGACTAAAAATCGAAAAAAGACGAAAAATCGTTAAATTTTGGAAAATGCTCCATTATTTTTTTATTTTTACAGATTTTCAGAAAAGGTTTTTATATTTAGATAGCTGATCTAATGACGATTCTAACAATGTATAATATGTATTGTAGCACAAATTAGAAACTTCCTCGATTCTGATTGGTCGAAAAGTGTGGTCAAATGGACAATAAACCCTCTCTTAATTATCAAGGCGAATTACTGCGTATAAATATTACAGTGTACATTTATTTGTTCATTTTTGTGCTCAATGATCTTCCTCAACTCAAATCTTTATTGGTTAACATCTTCAAGAAATTCTGCACACATGACTATCACAACATTATCTTTTATGAAAATACATTTCTGAAACACAAATCAGTCATAGATTAATTAAAACCGTTTTCAGGTATCCAAATATATTCTTAACTAGGCAGTGACAGTATGGACAAATTTGTTTTCTTTTTTGGTAGGCTAGCTTCACTCACCAATTTTTACTTAATCAGGTGGAATTTGTTTTTAAATCACGCTTTGACCAAAGTCTGACTAGCATGATCTACCTAATAATAAGTCATTAGTCACAAGAAATCGCTTGAAAATACAATGAGGGAGTCAAAGATAGCAGCTGAAATATAGGCCTAATCATTATGCCAAAATTAACATTTGTTGACAACACGTCAGAACAGTATACATAGCAACTACTAGAATCTTAGGCTAGACATCACTGTCATCATAGTTTTATAGGGTATTTTTGAGGATGTAAGTACAAACTGCAATTGTTTGAACAAGAACTAGCTACAACATTGTGATAACAGTTTGCAAATAAAATAATAAAGGCGGAAAACTTACATGAAACTCCAGAAGCGAAGTCATCTTTGTTGCCAATAGTTACTCCTCCTTTTTGCCTTGGATAGCAGGCCAGAATTATTTCAATCATAGCTGACACTCATCTCTAAATACCACAATAAGACTAATTTCCTGTTCTTTTAAAAATCTTCCAACGTTAAAAATATTTTTTTTGTCGATATCCGAATAACATTTTCTTTCATAATTTATTTACCAGCAACTTGAGACTCGAGCATTTTAAATGTGCAGGAAAGCAAGGACGGTATGAACCTATTGAGAATATTTTGAAAAATGAAAACAAGCACGTGGCCATTAATAATGGCTTTTTTAAAATATCACTTTTGAACATAGAATTTCTCATGGTGATTTCGTGATATATAATAACATTTTTTTTAAATCGCATAAAAATTATGACTGCTATAGGGTCCAGAAGCTAAAAACATGATTTTTTGTACAATCAGGGGACATAATTCAGGAAGTTACAGTCCGATATGCACGAATACTGAAAGGAACCAAGATCTGTGGGTAATAAACTTACATTTTAAGTTTCATCAAAATCAGAAGAAAATTGTGACCTCTAGAGGGTCCACAACCTTGATATACCATATTTTTACGCTATTTGAGAACGAGGGACGTCCATTTTGTCTGTTAGTTTTGGGCCGATTTTCACGAAATTCGAACTCAGCCATCCTTAGGGTGTAACGGTCATATACTAAAACTTTTTTTTAAATCGGATAAAAATTATGACCTCTATACAATCAGGGGCCATAATTCAGGAAGTTATGATCCAATATGTGCGAATATCAAAAGGAACCGAGAGTTTTGGGTTATAAACTTACATTTCAAGTTTCAACAAAATCAGATAAAAATTGTGACCTCTATAGGGTCCACAAGCTAAAAACGTGATTTTTCGTACAATCAGGGGCCATAATCCATGAAGTGTCAGTCCGATACATGCCAATATCGAAAGCAACCGAGATCTTTTGGGAGATAAACCTATATTTCAAGTTTCGTCAAAATCGGATCAGAATTGTGACCTGTAGAGTGTCCACAAACAATTGTGGACAGAGGCGACAGCAATATACGTCCACATGAAAATGTGGGCGTATAAGAATGGGTGTCTGTGCGAAAAATACGATGCATCAATTGGTTGTTTACCAAGTAGTTAAAGTTTGATATCCTTTAATATTAATAGCCAATTGAATTGTCTATCAGATGATACTAAAGCTACAAGTTTCTATTAAAAATTATAAAAGTTATGTGACTTTAGAAAGTAAGGTTTTTTACGATGTCGAGCAAGTTTAGACATCACTTTCTCGACAAGTCCACCTAATTTTTTTTTTAACTTCTTCTCTAGAGAGTGCAATCGATATTCTTGTATATGAAACCTTTGTATAATAGTCTAAAACATCAGGAGTAGCAGAAAAAAAGAGATTGAAAATTAAAAACGGCGTATTTTTACGATTTGGAACAAGTTTAGGTCTTTTTCTGGAAAAGTCAACCTAACATTTTTGGGGAACTTCTTCTACAGAGAGTCTAATCTGTAGTCTTACGTATGAAACCATTGTACAACAGTCCGATATATCAGGAGTAGGAGAACACAGGGATCAAAAATTGAAAACGGTGCATTTCATTGTTAAGTGAAACATGCAGTAACGGTGGATAAAATCTGTACGTATTGCAAACGTAAAGAGTATATTCCAGGGCTTCCACTTCAAAATTTTCCCAGACGGTCATTTTTCAAGCGGAGAAAGTGGTGCTATTTTTAGCACACAATAAGTAGCCACAAAACAACATGATATTGAAATACCAATGGGTTTAATTGGATCAAGGACAGTCACACAGAAATTTAATCTCACGTCGGCATTTATACCCACCCACCCCCCGCAATAAAGGAACATGTGTAATCAATTATCATTTATTTATTTATCCATAAATAAAATATAACAATAACAAGAAACATTCATTCATCGCAAGTACACTATTTTCTTACTTTATTTACAACATCACCCGTATATATCATATCTTTAAATAGTCGATCTTCGTGTTCAAGTAACGTTTTATGGTCACTGGAGGCAGTGTGCTCTACCAGAGCCGACTTTCTAAAATTCTGGGAACCAGTCACAAAACTATTCTTGGTGTTATGTTTCTGACAACGATCTTTTAATTAACCAGTGCGTACTGCATACGTGACGAGTTAAGACTGTTGACTATTTCTCTATACACTGTGAAAAGTAGTTCCGAATGATTAATGGGGGCTTATGTAAATAAGTCTGGTTTATGCACTGACACAAACTCGTCCACATGTCATGACCTATGCCATGTGACCTCATCTGCCTCTTTTTCGAATCTGCCTCTTTCTAGAATACAGCGCATAGACTAAGTCATGCTATATGTATTCAGCAAGAAATATTTCAAGCTTACGTGCCTTTACTATCAATAGCACCTAGCTCCAACCGGTTCGGGTGGAATTGCATTCAAGAGATGTCGGCGGCGTCTTTTTTATCTAGTTTGCTGTTGGTCACCTGGAATCAGTTCAAGGTCACGCGCTAGCACCGGAAGAGCTTTAGGCGTGTTTTGCACGGAACTGTGGGTAATCCACTAGTAACATCAATGCTGATTGGTTAATCAAATGTCTGACGTCATAGGGTCATTAGTCAGTCTTTTGACCCCTGACGTGACCTATCGCTATAACTTGTCAGATATTCATGTAGTGTAGGCCATCGTAAGTATAAAAAAACAAAACGAAATATAGATCTGTATTTTAATCAGATTGGGTTTCACCAGAAATACAACGAAAGATTGTCAGGGGTGAGAACATTAACCTTGAATTTGAATATGGAAATCATCCTGATAGATAATTTGTTAAATATTTATGTTCAGGATTAAGGAACGGTTCGATACATTAGTTAAAGACTCTGTTTCAGATACATTTGAATGTAAAAATTTAAAGTCAGCTAGAGATAATCCTCAAATAGTTGATGAGCTTATTAAATCAGA